ATAAGGGTGGGCTCTGCATCTCTGCATGTAGCTGAATTAGATGCACGTTTACTGGATTTATCCAAGTGGGCGAGTAGTATCTGTTAACATGAATTTCCTACAAAGAAATATTAGGCTTTTAAGCTGTAATGTTAGCAATCTTCCGCATCTGGCCATTTGATTCTATTCTTTACTTAACTTATTGAGAAATGATTTCTCATCATAATTTTTCTATTCATGAAGGTTGATGGCAGACTCGTGCAGGTTCGATAGATACGACTAACATTATATAAGTAAATCATCTTCACCAAATCAAAAGCGAAATGCTATGGAAACAACAAACACTTCATCAGGAAAAAGACAATGTGTGGCTCCAGATAAATGGTCAACTTACCTGTAGAAAATAGCGCGTCTCTAACTGCTACATACTTATTTATATCAGTAAATTTCCTTCCTCTTCAGACAGGCCCCGAAAAAGTGCATGTGAAACTATAGTTGTCTGGTCGGATTTCAAGAGTTTAAATAAAAAATGGCTAATTCGTAGGGTCATTGAAGTATAGGTTTGAAATTACCGTTACCGATTAGAGAGATCAGATCTATTATTTGCTTGCTTTGTGTTTTTCTTTCACGCGAAGGTTTTATCTTGACTACCATATGGCTTGAAAAAGGTTTGATGATTTAATCGATCTAATTTTAGCTGATTTGTTTATTGCTGCTAATTTAAATTCAATTCCAAAATTAATCATTGCTGTTTTGGGAACCATTCTAAAAATGCCAAAAATTCTCAGCATTGGACTCTGTCAGGCGCCAAATAATGCGCCAGTTTGAAGAAGCTTTTCTCCGATCCACACAAATCAGTAGATGATCGATACGAGTATGGAACACCTTTTTCCTGCCTCTGCGAGTTGATAAATCGACCAATATTCTCGAGGTGTTGAAGTTGGCGATCCGTACATTCGATCAAACAACTATTACACTAGCATCGACTCGCGCATATAAAGGATCAAACCATCTGCGTGTGGACTCTGAGCCAAATGCGAAAATTCCCAGAGTGTGTACGATGCAATGTACAGAGTTCTTCTAAATTGGCTCAAAATTTTAAATTACCGGACAGTAGCATCAATCCTGTAGCTGTACTTGAATTATTGGCGACACCATCCCAAGTTAGACAAGCATTTCGAACAAATATAGCCAGCGAGACTTTGCCGAGTTCGTCAAAGACCCCAACTTGAAGTACTACAAAATATTTCATGCCTTAAAATCTCGCTTTAAATATTCCTAAAAACGGCTCACCAGGTGTTATTGCAAAAGATTTTGAAGTTCAGGAGCTCGAGCCTTGCCTAAAATGCAATCAAGAACTTTTTTGTATGGGATAAAGAAGCCATTCACCATAATCACCTATGGACATATCATCGCGATTGTATCGAAAGTTCCATCAAAACTAGTCCAACATGTCCGAGACCCGATTGCAAGAAAGAGGTAATTTACGGTTGATAGCATGCCCGGAAGTTAGTATATCAGCGATTTGATGATATATCACGTTTTTGATGACGTTAAAAAACAAAATTTCTGAAGAAGCGTTCGATACTGCTTTGCGGAAGAGAATGGAGAGAACCTGGAAATACATAAACTTTTAATCATTACAAAACAAACAATAACATTTTCAGTGCGTTCCATTTCAAAGTGATATTGATTTTGTGATCGTAAAATGTTTGAGAGAAAGTAAAGATGTGGAGTTACTGCGCCACATTACTGCACTCTCGTGACACGCTATTAATATGGAACACCAAATTCGGTCCAATGTGATATGTACCACATGAAAAATATAAATATACGCGATTTTAGAGTAAACGCGTCTCTGATTTTATAAAAAGAATAAGGTAAGATCGATTCTCATATTTTTCGTTAATTGCATTGGTATTTTTTGCGTATACAATCCACATATATAACCATTATGTCTATTACACTTGTTTGCCTTGTCCGATAAATTAATCAGCCATTTTAAAACAATTATAAATAGGAACTCCATCCCCAATTCGATACTGTACCTGCCGAATACATTGAATTATGGAAGGTTAAAATTCGTGATGTCTTTGACTTATTATACGATAGTGACGAACTTCTTCTAGCTCGAGAAATAGGAGATTATTACCCAAGGTCCCTGCAAAAAAATATTCATGTTGTGGTTTCTTTACCCACACCTACCGATTCTTATGCAAGATATTTTAAGGTTATTTCTTATGAAGTCTGGTCTCTTAAGAATTTATTGTTTATGTCGTTGGTAGTAATAATAATACTCATGAAGTAAATATCCATTGTACATTTTACAAAATGTTAGAAGATATAAGTAATGATTCAAAGGCTTCGCAAGAAGTTCGTGCTCGTGCAAAAAAACTTCTCCAAAAAAAAAGAAGGTAAGTTACTTTACTGTTATATGAAAAAAATGGCGGCTTTTTGCCAGGCTCATGCACCTCTCATCGACTACGCCTTGATAAGAGTGGGCTCTGCTTCTCTGTGAATAGCTCTTGGCTTCGTCCAGACTATTTACACCCCTTATTGACTACGCCTTGATAAGGGTGGGCTCTGCATCTCTGCATGTAGCTGAATTAGATGCACGTTTACTGGATTTATCCAAGTGGGCGAGTAGTATCTGTTAACATGAATTTCCTACAAAGAAATATTAGGCTTTTAAGCTGTAATGTTAGCAATCTTCCGCATCTGGCCATTTGATTCTATTCTTTACTTAACTTATTGAGAAATTATTTCTCACCCTAATTTTTTATGAAGGTTGATGGCAAAACTCGTACCGGTCGATAAAGAAAATCATAGAATCTGAAAAGACTTATTGACGAATTGATGTCTAGCAATAAACCTTCGCAAGTTACGGAAGAGAGTAATCCAGTAGGAGATACCACTAATTTTTTATATTTTTTCAGAAAGATCGATCACGCCGAATCTAGAAATGAAGTTACGAATCGAGAGATTATCAATAGTTATTTTGATTTTGGAGGTTGATTATATAAACGATAATGAAGCATCCAATGCTCTAGTTTTTAATGACATTAGAAACAAATGTGACCGATATATTGCTTTGCGGAAGAGAATGGAGAGAGCCCGAAAAATATATAAACTTTTCACCACTATTGTTAACGGAGATAAGAAATTGGCAAAACAAACCAAAAAATAGCATTAATTCATTTTCGGTGCATTCCATTTCAAAGTGATTGATTTTGGGATCGTAAAATGTTTGATAGGAAATATGCGGAGTGAGTTACTACGCCACATTACTGCGCCCTCACGTCGTGTCGCAATTATTAATATGGAATTTGACAAATGTGGAAAACAGATGTCAAATCTAGTTTGAAGTACTAATAAAAAATGTCGGAAAAGCAATTTTACGTATATAATCTTATTCTTAGTTCAAACGATAAACTAACCTTTAACGTCAATTTTCCGTAATCACGTGAGCATGTATTTTTGAAGGCCACGTGAACCAGCAGTCCCTAAACACTGTTCGTAGACTTTCCGAATTCAAAAAATTTTGAACACATGATAATTATCCAATAAAATTACAGATTATGTATAATAGGAAGATACAAAACAAGCTACAATGTAGTAATATTTTTTGAAAAAATATCATATGTTCAAGTCACAAAGTTCGTCATGTGACTATTTCAGAATTTTTTGATTGGTCGTGAATGGCTCTGCTCAGCCATGTGGCTTATGATCTGTCTCAAATTAGATATATGCAATTATTTTATGAAAATTAAACAAACTGAAATTAGCTTTCATAACTGGAAGTTAAAGAGTTTTTTTTAGATACATCTACATTCTACCCTCTCTATTATCAACCTCTTTAATATCAATACCTCTTTATTATCAACACCTCTTTATTATCAACATTTATTGCAGAACAAATTTCACTTGGACTAATATATCAATACTAACTCTAACCTCCGAGTTATCGACCCTCTTAAATATCAACGAAAATGTGGTCCTGTCATGTTGACAATAGAGAGGGTAGACTGTATTTGTAAAAGTATGAAAAGTTGATCAAAACTTTATTGATGTAACTAGGTAAGCACTATATGACATGTTCAACATGAAAAACTTTCATGCATTTGTGATACATGTACGACAATTTGTGCGACAAAATAAAATATAAAAGTACGCGATTTTAGAGTAAACGCGTCTCTCTGATTTTATAAAAGACTAAAGATCGATTATCATATTTTTCGTTAACTACATTGGTATTTTTTGCGCATACAATACACTTATATAACCATTATGTCTATTACACTTTTTTGCCTTGTCCGAGGAGAACCTATTGCACGAGCATTTGCCGTTGATATCAAAACTGATAAATTAATCAGCCATCTTAAAGAAATTATTAAATCGGAACTCCATCCCCAATTCGATACTGTACCTGCCAAAGACATTGAATTATGGAAGGTTGAAATTCTTGATGCCAGTGAAATATCAAACTTATTGCACGATAGTGACAAACTTCTTCCAACTCGAGAAATAGTAGATTATTGGCCTAAGGTCCCTGCAAAAAAACATATCCATGTTGTGGTTTCTTTACCCACACCTACCGATTCTTATGCCAGATATTTTAAGATTATTTCTTATGAAGTCTGGTCTCTTAAGAATTTTATTGCTTATGTCATTGGTAGTAATAATTATACTGATGAAGTAAATATCCATCGTACATTTTACAAAATGTTGGAAGGTATAAGTAATGATTCAAAAGCTTCGCAAGAAGTTCGTGCTCGTGCAACAAAACTTCTCCAAAAAAAGAAGGTAAGTTACTTTACTGTTATATGAAAAAAAAATGGCGGCTTTTTGCCAGGCTCATGCACCTCTCATCGACTACGCCTTGATAAGAGTGGGCTCTGCTTCTCTGTGAATAGCTCTTGGCTTCGTCCAGACTATTTACACCCCTTATTGACTACGCCTTGATAAGGGTGGGCTCTGCATCTCTGCATGTAGCTGAATTAGATGCACGTTTACTGGATTTATCCAAGTGGGCGAGTAGTATCTGTTAACATGAATTTCCTACAAAGAAATATTAGGCTTTTAAGCTGTAATGTTAGCAATCTTCCGCATCTGGCCATTTGATTCTATTCTTTACTTAACTTATTGAGAAATTATTTCTCACCCTAATTTTTTATGAAGGTTGATGGCAAAACTCGTGCAGTTTTGGTAGATACAACTAGTCATTATATAAATACATCACCTTCATCATCATCTGCATCTGTATCAAATAGAAAACGAAATGCTATAGAAACAATAGACACTTCTTCTGGAAAAAGACAATGTGTGGTTCCAGATATAGAACACCTTTTTCCTGGTGTAGATGTGCCTCTGCGAGTTGATAAATCGACAAATATTCTCGAGGTGTTGAAGTTGGCAATTCGTACATTCGATCAAGCAACTATTACACTAGCATCGGTTCGCGCATATAAAGAATCGAACCATTTGCGTGTGGACTCTGAGACAAATGCGAAAGTTCCCAGAGAGAGTGTATATGATGCAGAAATGTACAGAGTTCTTCTAAATTGGCTCAAAATCATTCATAAATTTGAAATTACCGGACAGTGGCATCTCGGGCAAGTTTGTGAGGATGGGGATTATCACCACCTGTATTGTGATCTGACAATTAAAAAAAGTGATTCCCCCAATCCTGTAGCTGTTCTTGAATTATTGGCGACAGCATCACCACCAAAGCTCGACAGCCATTTCGAGCAAGTATTTAAGTATGCCCAACAACTAAACCCCTTAGAAGTTTGGGTTGTACATTTTTCTCGTGAGGATGGTGTCGTTGAAAATCCCTATTGGCCCTGTAAACAGCTACAGGAAAGGGGGCTTAATGTCGTGCACTTATGGCATGACAAAGAATTCAAAAACGTCCGGATGAGTGCTAGATCCCGAGATGCCTCCGGTAATTTCTATGACATTATAGATGAACAAATTCTCCCCTAATTTATCAATAAAGCGGGCCTAGTGGTTAATTTCACATATATAACCGTGTTTACTTTTTGCATTTATATTTCGTGAGTTTATTGCATTATACGGACGTCGATGCCACATAATTTTGTGAATTTTTGCACGGTTTTATTACGTGACTTTTTATATGTTAATAAACTCGAACTTTTGAATAAAGATAAAAGTTATATAAAAAACTCGCACAGGCTGATCAAGAAATTGCAAGACTAAAACAGATCATAAAAGAAAAAGATAAGAATGAGAAAGAGCTTATGGTTAGGGTTACGAAATTGGAACAGAATATGGAAGAAATTAAGAAGCAGAATCGAAATGTTACAAATGTTTTGTCGGTGATTTCCCGATCATCCACCTATCGAGGATCACGCCATTGGAGAGAATGTATACAGAGCACAGAATTTTTAACTCGCTGTGAAGCAGATCACTCTGTGGCTACTGACCATTAGAGCAAAACCCCGAGTTAATCTCCAAAATAAATAGTTGATATAACTATTGACACATTTAGCTCTGATCTAAGCCAATCTATCTGCATAGAGTCTAAATCATTAGAGAAAAAGAAATTGTCAAATTCTTAGATTTGAAAGATATGAAAAGGAGAAGGTCACAATATGGAGAAGCTTCTTCGAGATCAAGACTTATCCTAATCTCGTAAGATGAATCAAGCTAGGCCTCCTGGATCCGGGAATATAAGAACAGTAGCTTGCACCTTGTCATAGCAACTCCAAGTCGACATACCAAAGTTAGCATGTGATCTTGAAACCCGTGAAGAAGCTTCACGATCAGAGTCATTGATCTCGACATGGAAGAACTTGTTAAATTCGATCAATACGATGAAGATATTACCAAGTTAGATAAAAATCTAATTGTAAAACAGAAGTTAAAACAACAACTATCTACACTTATACCCAGTGATGTACATGGACAATGTCCAAGCAATATTGTTAAACAAGAACAATTTTGTTCAATTTTCAAATGTTCAATATCCAATAATTGTTCAGTAACATTATCACTGAACATGTTCAATCAAATAATATAGTTGAACATGAACAATTTTGTCCAATATCCAATATTCAACATTCAAAACTATAAAAAATAAATAAATTCAATGTTAAAATATATTGTAGATCCTATATAAAAGTACTGAATGAAGCAGAAGGTACCAAATATTATTTTTCCAATAAAAAGATTAAATAATAACACATTTCAAAAAATATATTTATTTTGCTAAAATGATATCTGTACAAAGAGAAGAAATTGATAATCTTGTTGAAACTAATATTTTTCTGATATAATTAGGAAAAATAAAAAATAAAAAATATTTTAATAATATTTTTATATTATTAGTTTATAGAAATTATTATATTTATTAATAAAATTATATTTGTAACTTCACATTTTTCAGTTTTAAAGATTTAATACAGAATTTTTTTTATGAATTAATAAATAATTATATAATTATTTGAACATATAAAAAAATTTCATAGACTTTTCTTATAACTTATAGTTTTTTTTGTAAATAGACTTTATAATAAATTAATAAATCTGAAGCAATTGAATTATTTGAATTTCTTAATATCTTTTTCAAGCTTTCAAATTAATATTATAAATTAGAAAAAGCAATACTAATTATACTAAAAGAAGATCAAATTGATATTACTTTTATCTTTATAACTAAATTAATATTTAAAATAAATAATTATTAGAAAAAATAATAATTACAGTGCCTGACAAAAGTATTCTCGCTGATAATTTTTGATTAGTATATAAATTACTAAAATTTTATTGTATAGTATATATATTTGAAATGTTGCAGTATATTTCTGCTTAAATTATTAACTAATCTAAAATACAAGATAAATTAATAACTAGTTATAATATAATTAAGTCTTCAAGAAAAATAAATAATAAGAAACTACAAAATAACTAGCCATTGTGACCAGTTCAGAACTAGATTATGGCTGATTTTATAATAAGATTATTTGAGTTATTTTTTAATTACATATGATTTGATAAAGCTAAAATGCTATATAGTTTAATGAGACCCTCTTTGGAGCAGATATCATTTTTATGTGCTAAGGTTGGGAAACCACAAGAGTATAGGTTGGAATCAGAATGAATTTTGATAATGGTATTAGATTGTTGTGAAGTAGAATTTGGAGGTCATCCTGTTCATTTTGTAAATTGTGATTTTTTAGTTTTGATGTGATAGCTTGTTGTTTTTCAAGTTGTATTTGTTTCAGACAATATTTGTTCCAGATATATGTACATCCTTCTTCTACGAGCCAGAAGATAAAATTAGAGGTAATAATTGTTGCTATTTTTTGAGTCAGAGGAGTATGATTTAAAATGAATTTGATTAATTTTATAGAGATAAAGTCTTTGAAAAGTTTGATATATTATTACAGTGATTCTGAATAGTGGATTTCACTGAGAATCTCTATAAGCATATAATGTTGGAAGAGGGGTGATTAAACTTAAGTAAAGAGAATAAATTATAAATATTAGCAAAAGTTTCTAAAATCTGTACCAATATCTACGGATATTGTGTGTTTAAAGGTCTAAATTACAAAAATAATTTGAAAAAGAGGTAAAAATATAAAGAAAAGAATAAAAATAAATCAAAAGATTTATAATGATTAATAAGTAAAACTACTATTAATCAAAGAAAAATTAAACTAAAATGTAAAATACTAATACTAAAAAGTATAAATCAAAAATAACAATTTAAATAAAATTAATATCATGAAAATATAAAAAATCAAAAATATAAAAATCAAAAAGTATAAATCAAAATATCAAAGCCAAAAATATCAAATCAAAATCAATATAACGTTATAACAAAAATTCAAAATCAACTTTATATAGTCAAAGAAATAAAATTGAGTAAGAGAAAGAATACTAGTATAATTAGAAAAGGAATCAAAAAATTACTATTATTATGATAATAAGCTTTTTAATTATATTTTTAAACAATTCAATCTGTGGCTAATTATCAAGTCAACTAAAAAACTGTTTATTTCAATTTAAGAAGCAGGTCCTTTTATACATGTTTTCGAATATAAAAATTACTATAGTATTACTAATTAATACTATTTAATATACATATTTTGTAATTTCAGATTAAGATTTACAAATTAAAATTTTGAAATCAAGGTTTTGAAATCAAGATTTTGAAATCAAGGTTTTCATATAATATAAATATAAAAGAAGAAATAAAATATAAAAGAAGAGATCTACAAATATATTAACTAATTAATCTATACAGTATTACTAAATATAGTTATATAT